ATTCTCTGCTTTAAGTAAATCTTAAACCCTATTCTAACATCCAAAATCTATAGCCTTGCTCCAGTTGATTTAGATGGAGCTGTCACAAAAAAAGCCCAGAAGGAGAAAAAGCACACAAGGAGTCATCTTTTCCTGAAAAACTAGAGGGATATGGACTTAGGCGATGTGTGCTCGCGCGCTGGGGCAGGGGAGGTCGAGGCGGAGTTTCTATGTTGCTGAGCTATACAGAGTGATGGAGAAGATGTCCAGAATAAAAGAATGGAGGACTTTCTCATTTCTCTCCAAATCTCCCTAGATACCATATGTTCCTCCTGGTCCCGTGCCTAGTCCCTTGTAAGCTCACAAACGATATTCTGGCACTTTTCCTTTCCCCAATCCAAACACTCTCTTGCCGGGGCAAACACTTCCCAGCACCACAGCACACATGCGCACGACCCCGTGCACGGGCCTGACGACTCTAGCGCCTAGTAACCCCTCCTAAGGCATGCGCCTTCTCCTCTCTCTTCTCCCGTTTCCTCCGTACATACGATCCTCACCTGAGGGACTTGTGCTGTCTCCGTCCCCGATCCACTCGGGCTCCGGTGGTTGCTGCTTGGGTCCCTTCGGCATTGCGGTGGCAGTTACTGCTACCCTGGCGGCGCCCTGTGCTATTTCCGCTTCCGGTGGCGTGGATTTCCCCCGAACGGGGTGGGCTCTCCAGGCCGGCTCGACCGTCTCCGCCCCTGCCCCCGGCGGCCCACTAGCGCGCCGCCCGTCACCTAGTGGGCGTGGTCTGCAGTTTCGGGGCGGGGCTGTGGTCCACCAGCTGGCTTTGCGTYGGCAACGCGTTTGTGACTGCCGGGGAAGCCTGACCCAGTGTCCCCGTGACACTGACAGACTCAAAGAATTTACATAAGGATTTCTAGGTAGTATTAAGTAGTTGAGGCATACTTTTTATTAAAAAGTGAATGCTATCTTCTAACATTTCCGTATGACTGATCAGGGGCAAAAAAGACAGTAGAGTTCATCAACTAAGAAATAGGCTTGTCGGTCCAGTGTTGTTGACATGTGTAACAAAATCCCGAAAAGTACGGGTGTAAAAGAGGAACTCCAGCACATAAATCATAGTGCAGCAAGCCTGAGCTCACTATTTTTGTTTCCCTAGATGATTACTTTGCTGAGTWTGATTCAGCTACGATAAACTGCACAAACAGTAAAATGACATCCAATGCAAAGTGTACACTGATAAATTTTGGCATCCATACACCCTTTAAACCATCACCACAATTAATTTGCGGGTTGATTTCAAACTACTGTTTAATAGATGAAGGGCCCAGTGCACAGTGTCACACATCTCTAATCCCAGTGCCTCTGGAGATTGAGGCAGGAGTAGCAGAATCCGAGGCTTGCCTGGGCAACTGAGAAAGAGTCTAAAAAAGAGGAATGGGGATTTAGATCAGTAGTAAAGTGCCCTTGGGTTCAATCCCCAATACTCCAACAAAACAAAACAGTAGGTATGGGAGCTTGAGCAAACTGATTGTATAGCCTTGTCAGCTCCTGAAGATCAGGGGCCAGTTTTTCTTTTTCTTTTGGCACTGGGGATTGAACCCAGGGGTGCTTTATCACTGAGCTACATCCTCAATGCTTTTAAAAAAAATTGGAGACAGGGTCTGTTTCTGAGGGTATCTCTATGTTGTTGAGGCTGGCTTTGAACTTGTCATCTTCCTGCCTCATCCTTCCAAGACTCTGGGATTTTAGGCATGCATCACTATTCCAGGCAGGGGCCAGTCTTTTGACTTCATCCTCCTCACTTTCCCAGCAACATTTGCTAGTAGTTGGTAACTGCTTTCCATCTCACTGGCTTCTCCCTTTTATTTTTTAGACAGGGTCTCACTAAATTTCTGAGGCTGGCCTCAAACTTGCAATTTTTCTGCCTCTGCTCCTAAATTGCRGGGATTATAGGCTTCTGCCATGTCTGCCCATGGATGAGGAAGCTAGAGCTTTCTTAGGACTATGAATGAGTTTGTAGACCATAGAACTGAAAACTGAGGGTTTTTTTTTTTTTTTGTACCAGGGATTGAACCCAAGGGTGCTTAACCACTGAGTCACATCCCGCCCTTTTTGAGATAGTCTCAGTAGGTTGCTTACAGCCTCGTTTAGTTGCTGAGACCATCTTCAAACCTGCAATTCTCCTGCTTCAGGTTTTGTGGTGGCTGGGATTACACATATGCATCACCATGTCCAGCAGCTCTGTGTTCTGAATACCTAAGGGCCTTGTGGTGGCATGATTGTCACATATGCATTGGACTATCTCTTGTGAGAGAAATTAACTGTTTACTTAAGACTAACTTAAGGCATTACAACTATAATACTTAAGCCTGGTTATCTGAGACATGGTWGGTGCTTTAGAATACATGCATGATTGTGGCTTCAACCATCACCTATATGCAGATGACACATATCAATATTTCTAGTAATCTATCAAAACCTGTATATTCATCCAAGTACTTACCTATGCTTGGATGTCATAAGACAACTTAACCAAGCCAAAATTAGTGGCTGCCTGTTTTCTCCCAGTAGTTTTTTTTTTTTTTTTTTAAACAGAGATATGTAAGCCAGAATAACCTGGAGAAAATCTAAAAGTATGTTCATTTTGACCTGTTATTCACAAATGTCTCCTTTACTCCAACTTGACTACCCAAATCTACGCCACCATCACAGCTCATCTGTACTAACTGAAGCAACCTGCTAGCCAGGCCATTTCCATATAAACGGAGTTTTTTTTTTTCTTTTGAAAACCGGGGACTGAACTCAGGGGCACTCAGCCACTGAGCCACACCCCCAGCCATATTTTGTATTTTATTTAGAGGCAGGGTCTGAGTTGCTTAGTGCTTCACCATTGCTGAGGCTGGCTTTGAACTCATGATTCTCAGCCTCCCAAGCTGTTGGAATTATAGGTGCGTGCCCTGCACCCAGCTACAAATGGATCTGTTTTGGAAAAACCCAATGGATCCATGATCCTCACCAGTATGCAAAACTTTAAAATTCCTTTAAGATCTAAATCCTTATGTTCTGCAACCCCGAGTGGTCAATTTCTCATTGTTCTACCTTCTTTACCACATCCTTCATCTCCATCAAACACCTTTACTGGGACTACCCTCCCATCCCACCTCTTTGTTTCTTTCAGAACTTATCTTGGGTATCATTTCCCTTTCTGATTTTATCATATTATACTCCCCCCTTTCACTGTCTAATTTCACAGGTATTTGTGCGTCCCCCTTTCACCACTAGGGATCAAACCCAGAGACACTTCTAACACTTGAGCTATACCCTCAGCCTTTTCTTTTAAACATTTTTAGTTGTAGATGGGAGACAGTACCTTTATTTTATTTGCATGTAGTACTGAGGATTGAACTCAGCATCTCACATGTGCTAGGCAAACAATATAATACTGAACTACAATCTCAGCCCCCTTTCTACTTTCTGAGACAGGGTCTCACTCAACTGCCCAGCTGGCCTTGAACTTGTGATCTTCCAGCCTCAAGTCTCCTGAGTAGCAAGGGAATACAAGCATGTGGTACTTGGCTATTTGTGATTTTTGATGAACATGTTTCCTTGGAAGATTTAAAATGCACTGGTTTTAGCTGTTATCTTTAGTGTCTGGTATATGGCCTTGCCCACAGGAACTCAGTCATAGAGCATTTGACTGCTTCATCATTTCTACTTCATATACACAAACTGACAAACATAAAATAAAAATTACTCCCCAGCCACCTGTTTTTCCTTTCTTCTGTGCCCTTGACCACAATGTAGCCTGGTTTGGTTGATGCTTGTTGGCTAAAGGGACCCCCAAAATTCTCTTGGAAAGGGACCCCCAAAATTCTCTTGGGCTGGAAGAGACTTGCATTCTCCATCACCACCATCTGAATGACTAGAACACAGGGATTAAGGAAATGCTGGTTTCCACTGCGTTTATTACTAATATAAAAAAATGTTAAAAAGAAAAAAAATCATTCTCAGTTCTCCAACACTCTCATCCCTCCCTCTTGCCCACACAACTCCTGACCCATTTCCTCAGGGCCAGCTCAAAACTGAACCTGTTCACTGCCGTTTTCACAGAAAACAACCAGTGCCAGGGATGTGAGGGAAGAGTGTCAGAAGAGAGCAACAGTACTGTCCAGGTTCCACCCATAGATAGGCCAGGTGGAGATTCACAGAATTCAAATGAAAGGGCTGGTGGCTTCACAATGACATAGTCTAACTAAGACAGGCTGAAAAGGAGCTGGGTAGGGAGGCCCATCTGAGGCTTTACAAGACATCATTGGTCAGTGTCAGACCAAGAATAATCAACACCAGGAGAAGTACAGGGAGGACCAGGGAGGCAGTCTTGTGGAGTTTCACGATTCTCCCAAGTTGGGATGTGGGGAAAGTCTAGAGGGCACCAAGAGCCTCACTCATTTTGGCAGAAAAACTTATTCTAGTGTTGGGAAATCACAAAAATGCCACGGACAGTGAGAGAGGCTACGAGGGGATGCACAGTTTCACAAAGCACAGTGATCACAGACCATAGCGGTGGGGATCAT